AATAAAGTAGATGCGTTGCCGGACAGGTATAGTGTGCCTACGTAAAAATGAAATGTAAATATGTAAATAAAATTGTGTATATTATGTTCTTCTTGTGATTGAATTAATCTACGTTAATTAAATTAAATTTGCCTTCACTCGTTTGAAATTCAAAATTCAAATATTTTTTATTCAAGTAGGCATTAAAAATACACTTTTGAATAGTCATATAATTACTGTTTTCCCCAATTTTTTCTTTTCCATGTCCTACTTCTGATTCTACTGAGAAGAATCATGGAAGAAAGTAAGAAACTCAGTAGTTGCTCTTTTCAAAATATTTTTACAATAGTTCTATAATTATGTAAAGCGATAAGTCAAACATAAAATGTCAAATGTATATGTAGATACCAAATCGGTTTAGAAATTTCTAGTTAGTTCTGTGTAGTACGAGAGGTCAGTTCCAAGCGTTTTTGTCTGACTTAAATTGAAAAGGTGAAAGATCTAACATTTCTTTTGGAATCTTATTATAAAAGCGTACATCGCTACCCAAGAACGCATTATATACTTTGTGTAACCGGAAAGCAGGTATTGTGATTTTATTTTTATTTCTACTATTAAAATTGTGCAAATCACTATTATTTACATCAATTCAATGCAATCAATTTCTTTAAACGGTTCTCTAAGAGATACTCGGGCTCCTAAAAAGTACATAGATCTTATTTTACCCTTTTTATTTAATATGCACACTTTTTATATTATTCGATTAGGATTTGTGCAAAATGTTTACACGATTCAAGTGTGTTAAAAGTGTCTACAATATTTATCAAATGGGTGACGACATATTCGAACACTTTGTGTTCAAAAACACACACTTCCAAAAATCGAGATTTGCAGTGAACTTATTGAATATGTTTATCTATTAGGTAATAATAATAATAGTAAGTAATTATTATAAATCCATATAGTTAATATTATAATAATTACTAACTAGAATAAATTATTATGGTATCTACCTATCATTACCATTATCTAATTACAATATTCTTTGCGAGATCAGCATAATGTATTCGTGTCCAGTCTGAGCACCTGGAAACTTATTTTATTCTTTGGAACATGTACTCTGTGGCGGCATTCAAACAGTGTCAAATGTAGTGCGTGCGGCGCGGCGGCGACGATTGAATGCGATATCAATAGAAGCCGCCGGTGCGTGTATCTTGACCTTGTACTTCCGAATAGCTGCAAAATTTCTTTGACAGGTCAGTATTCGACTTTTGATGATGCCGACAACAAGACGCCGCGCACTATCAAAGTGCCGATGGTCAAAACTAGGGATGGACTGTTTTTTCTTTTAATGGATATTTTCATCCGCTATGTATGTTTATGGTATTCTTCGTAATGCGCAAAAGTCCAATTTTCCAAATTTTTTTTATATTTTTTTTGCATCTCTTAGAGTCCCTAAGCGTATACCCGAACTTCTATACTCCCTGAAACGACAATCATTCCTAACTGCAAGACGCAAGAGTCTCGCAGGCTTAGTCTTGTTCTTGCTCAAATCTTGCACGGTCAGTCTTGGTCTTGGTCTTGCTAAAATTAGGCGGTCTTGTTCTTGGTCTTGGTCTTGCAAAAATGCAAGAACAAGACCAAGACTGCAAGACCAAGACCGATTTTGTGCAACACTACCTTAGACGGGCACTACGGTACTTATAGATTGCGCACTAGGTTACGGTCAATTCTCCATAACTTCTTCAGTTGACTGCGAACGGGCGAGAAGATTAGGTCTTTGTTTGTGATCATGAATCTAACGCTGATTTTGTTTAATGTGACTAAGAAAAGCCTGTCATTATTTTTTTGCACACTTTGCCAACGTGATTAAAGTTTATTTCAGATAAGTATGTAACTTCATTTCGTATTTGCCTACCGGCGCCTCTACACGTTGGCCAACACAGTGGCGAAATGAACGAAGATATTGGCCGAGAGTTTGTGACGGCATCCACACGTTGGAAGGTCGTTCAGTTTGTTTCGGTTCAGGCCAATGTGCGGACGAATTTATTTTTTAGACGACGGCTCCGTGGCGCAGTGGCTTAGCAATGAGTGGCTGCGCCGGGGGCCGCGGGTTTAAATCCCGCACGGAACAAGTATTTGTATGTCCTACAAATAATTGTTCCGGGCCTGGATGTGTGTCCTTGTGCAATTTATGTTTGTAAGCTGCCTCTACGATACAGGAGAAAATCCAAGTGTGGGGGTAACGTTTTTATAAAATAATTATAAAAAAATAGTGAATATTAATAGGGCTGTTAATAGATATACGATTAGCTTTATTTACTCTTTACATGCATCGTAAACAGGAATAAATACCATTAATTAGAACTTAACTTATTTTAAAGTTAAAGGAGTTATAATCGATTAGTCATTGTTATAAAAACATGTACTTGCTGAAAAGCAAGTACATGTTTTGCTAAACGTAGAAACATCATAGAAACATCAGCCATTTGACGTATATAAAAAACACCTTATAATTGATATAATAATTTAATCACTTTTTTATAAAGACAAAAACAATAGCAATAAATATAATTAACACTGACTTAATAATAGGTACTAATTATAACTTAGAACGTAAATGAAAAACTCATGACAAGTAAAGTGGCTCAGGACCATGTCTTGCGGCAGTCTGTGGAGGAGGATGTTCAGTGTGCCTAGTGCGAGTTGGTGCGAGTTTTTTTACGCGTTCGATAGCGATAAATTTAACTACGATTTGTATAGAATAAGAAAAGCGCCAACTAGTGACAATAATTTGAAACACAATTCCTGAGTGCGAGTTTATTACGTCGTCGATATCGACCATTGAACATTGACTAGCATTTGACAGTGAGAACGTTAACGCTTGTGATTGGTCGTTTCAAATGCTCTCGAGTATATTGCGAGTGCGAGTGGCAATATCAATCGTTCGAGACGTAACATAAACAAAATTTACTCTGATGCTATCGAAAAAGTTTTCACATAGATTTTTACAGTGAGACAGTGTAGTGAGAACAATTGATGAAGGTTTAGTAATTTTATTTCGTTTTATGTGAACGATGTATAATTATGGCAGGACGTTTCTTTTTGCTTGGAGGATGTTTGCAGCTGCTAAGGCATAAATAAGTAATAATTATAGATGACTCCTATTCTTTGATTATATAGACAATCCCATCATAATCAAAGCTGCTATTATAACGCCAGTGTTGAAGTAAGAGCTTGTGCATATTTTCGTCCATTGTTACATCGCGACGACAGGCAATTTAAGCATAGATATGGCATTTTCCACTAAAATATTCAAGTTTTGTGTAAATAGCATTTGATAAATCTAAGGTCTACTATCTCTATTCAATAGTGAAATCAATTCCTTCTAAATTTTTTATACAGACCATTTGATCGCTTGCATTGGACGATGCTTTCCCGAGGCCTCCATGCCGAAAATCCAATAAATTCTAGTCCGCGTAACCTAGTTACAAAACACGTATCAAACTTCAATTTACATCTAAATAACTTAAATTCCATTTACTGCTCCAAAAATTTCATCATAAAAGCATATTAAACGAACACATTTTTATTTTTCTGCTTTAAATTTAAACGTTATATTATTAACAATCACCGACAAGTTACAAAAATGTCATTCTGAATTTGGTTAGTTTATCTCACGGAACCGACGTGTTACCAACATAAGATAAGGAATAAACGTCATTCACAGTGAGCAAACGCGAATCGAAAGATTAGTTTCGATTGTAACTCACACTCGCTCGTCTTCCTTGTTGATACCGACGACGTTAACTCTGTTAGCGCGATGGTGAAGTCATTCGATTAATTTTGTGGAACTCGCACTAGGCACACAGTAGTGGACTTGTGAAGAGCTGTAACGATGGTGATGATTCGAAAACTTGCACGATTAGATTATAAGAAATCGACGTTTTATTTTTATAGGATAAAGTGACAAACGAGCACACAGTTCACCTGATGGTAAGTGGTTGCTGTGACCCACATCTATCCTCGATTACGAATCGAAATGCAGATACGTTGTCACCCGTGAGAACTAAGATGAAATGCCTCGTTTCCTTTAAAAAGGGTCTCTGGTTCTCTACACTCACTATACGAAATACAGCATCATTAAGCTACTATTATACGCTGATATCCTGTGAGAGCGTGGTCCTTTCCCGGTCGAGTCGACCCATTCGTGCTACAATTATACTTCTAATATAACTGCATGGTTTTACCACGTATAAACGACGTGCTTCATTTTTTTTTTCATTTTAAAATTGTTCTCGTAATAATCTGATTGTAAATAAATGTTCATTATTTTTTTTGATATATAGCTTATCGATTAACAAAAATGTTTAAAAATAATTAAATCGCGCTAATTAAAGTAGTAAGAATGTTTCAAGTTGAAATTGGCACTAAAAGGCTGGTAATTGGAGCATCCACCCTACAAAGCTTTAATATAAAATGCTATTGGCCACTACATTCGCCACTGTATTGGCCAACGTGTAGAGGTACCGTAAGAACAGAAACTATAATAAATGAAAATACAATTGCGTTACCGGCGTCGTCGCGATCTACAGCTTTGACACAGTTCTTGTTCTGAATTGCCGGTTTAATGGTACACATAGAAGTCTTTGATAAAAGTTATATACAATTGGTATGTATTGAAATAATACTAATTTTTACGGAATTTATTGCGTATATTTAACTTTTTTACCCGACGTTTCGAGAGCTTTACATCAGCTCTCGAAACGTCGGGTAAAAAAGTTAAATATACGCGATAAATTCCGTAAAAAATTAGTATTATTTCAATGTGTAGTGTTCGCGTAAATATAAGAAATCAATTGGTATGTATATTATATCGTCGGCTTTCATGTAATCTTGTGAGATCACGGGACTCCACTTTTCGGTCGTAGTTCAGATTGTGGTATCAATTCAACGCCATAACTTAATAACTATAGTATTTTCGAATATATTCCTAATACATAATTTTTTTCAATTCACAGTTACTTAGTGAAATATTCATATTCGAACGCGGAACAAGACGACCTGTGGGCGGAGCTGACAGCTGTCAGCCAAAAATATGGCGTCTTGACCAGAAACGTCACCGTAAAGGAGATCATGGACACCTGGACCAAACAGACCGGATATCCGCTGCTTACCGTGACCAGGGAATACGGGGACACGTCCTTGACTATTTCACAGGTTGGTCAAGTCAATTATTTACAACATTATCATTGTCACTACAGTATCTAAAAGTCCACTACTAAACAGAGCCCTACCTATAGATTGTCTCATCAGAGAGGACTCTGCCATAGTTACCAAATATGTGTTAACTATTTATTTTGATTAGTAAAATGAGGGAGCCGATGAAGGATCTAATTCAATAACATGTCTTTTATGTTATCGAAAAATATTTTATGGTTTTTCCTTAAGGAGGAGTATTACAAAAAATCGCGAAATTACTAGGTTTCCTTGTTGAAATTATATGTTTTACGTTCGTTGCCTGAAATAACTATTACTTGGTAAAAATAGTTCGTTTTCTCGACTACAATATGCTCAAGGTAAATTTTATATAACTTATTTTATTTATTGATTCTTTATTGCACAAAAAGATTCTCGGTCTTGTCACAAGGTTTTGTCAAACTTGTTTAGTAGTTGAGAAAATGGAAGTGACTCGAGAAAATTAAAGAGCGATGATTTATTATGACTTTCGAAGTGGTTTAACACAAAAACGGTGTGTTGACCGGATGATTTCTGCATTTGGTGATGAAGCCCCATCCAAAACCACAATTTATCGCTGGTTTGCTGAACTTCAACGTGGACGTGTCAAGTTCAGTGATCGTCCCCGTCAAGATCGTCCAAAAACTGCAGTCACCCAAGAAAACGTTGATGCTGTGCGTAAGCTGATTGAGGAAGATCGACATGCGACATACCGCGAAATTCAGGCAACTTTAGACATTGGCATGAGTCAAATACAAATAATCTTCCATTAACAATTAGGTGTAAAAAAGTTGTTTTCCCGATGGATACCGCATTCGCTCTGTGAAGAGCAAAAAGCGGCTCGCGTTACTTGGTGCGTCAGAACTCTCAAAAAATTCCACGCAGGATCCTCAAATGCTGTATACAACATCGTATTAGGTGACGGTATTATATATATGGTGGTAGTATTATATTATATATATTATATATATGGTAAGTGGTGATGTAAGTGCAGCCGAGACTAGTGAAACGTATTAAATAAATTAAATGAAAGCGCTGTCCCTACTCTTTACACACAACGATAAGTAGCGGCTATACCATAAATGAAATCAAATTAAAGCGCTATCGCTACTCTTGACTAACAATAAGAAGTAGCAGCTACTTCCTGCATGTCTTACCAGGTTGTCACTCCATCTAGTTGGGGAACGCTCTACACTTCGCTTGCTGGTACGAGGCTGCCTTTTATCAGTGGTATTTTTGGCGGTAAGAAATTAAAATTTCATTCATCAAAGGTCAAGAAACATGAGGCCAAGTTGAACAACATATATTTTAGACACGATTTTGAATCGTGAAAATCGATATTCCTTGAAGTAGTGTATGCTCAGAAAAAAATATGCGCATACATGAGATACTTAATTAAATTCTTAATCGAATAACTTTGACGTTAGAGTTCGTTTTAAAGAGCCCTCTTACATTTCGGTGTTACGCAAAGAGGAATGCCCACTCTTCATAGACATTTCGGCCATGGGTGCCCACATATAAAAGCATATAGATATGATAATATACAAATAAAAGAATGAAATGGTTAAGAAATTGGTTTAAAAAAAGTCGGGAATTTTAAGATATAAAAGTTTTTATTTTCACAAATACAGTTTTTTAACAACTAATTTTACCGATTTTATCGCGTTTAATTTCTTTGATTTTTAATTCTCGACGTTTCGGGTGCTTTCCAGCACACATGGTCATGGGGGATTGAGGTGAATGGTGTACCGAATCAGTGTTAACTTGGAGTAACTTCAGCTTTTTAATAACTATTTATGGTCCGATATATGCAGAATGAACTTACTGTCTTGAAGTCTTGCGTGGTATGCTTGGGTTTAGTTTTAATTTTATTATTTACAGGGTCCCAAACAGGTGGGAGTACCCAGCTTCCTTCTCTATTGAAATTAGAATGTTTTTAATTTCAATAGCCTCACATATAATCCTTGGCAGGAATCGATGTTCTTTCGCGAGGATTTGTGGTCTATCAAATCTGATATTATATGTATCTTCTTCAGCGGCTTGTAGAATGTTCTAATAGGAGCTCGCTTCAAGATGTAGCCAATCTTGTCCGTAATACCTCTGAAATATGGTAGTACAGCAGGCACATGCTCGACTGTGCCCGACTTCACTCGGCCACTGTGACATAGGCGCGGGACCCGAAGCTTGTTGTCGTGAAGAACCTGCTTGACGTGCTGAAGCTCGGCAGCCAGGTGTTTGCGCTCACAGATCCCTTGTGCTCTCTGTAACAAAGAGTTGCCCACGGTAGCTAACTGTGAAGGATGATGGTGAGATTCACCGTTTAAATATTGGTTTGTATGGGACTTTTTTCTATATACAGTGTAACCTATGGTGTTAATAGAATTTCGGATGACTAACACATCTGGGAATGCTAAGGAATTATTGGCCTCTAGTATAATATCTAATCACTGAATGGAATTTAGCACAGAGTGGTAACAATGGATAAAATCCATTGGTTTTTTTTTTTTGCGCCCGAAGCAATTGGAAAGGGCTACCCTTTATGAAGGGAGGCGGAAAATGCATTACGCATACCACGATAGCCGGTCTATCGTGATTATGAGGGACTCACTGCCTACCGGGGGGAACATAAGTGATACCCTCTAAAAACCGCCTTTGGGGACTGGTAACTGGCTGTTTAAGCTTCTTATGCCGTATCGGAAGCGACCCTCTTTTGGGAAAAGAGGGCGCAGGAAAAATTCATAATTTCCTCCCCAATAAGCTAGCAGGACCTGTCAGCAGATTCCCAGCACTCCTACTGTGGTGGTGGGGGGGAAGGCCTTAATAGGCAGACTTGTTGTCATAATGAGATGTGTTCCAAGGGTTTGGGTATGAAAGTGAAAGTCACATTCATACCCAAACCAGGTAGGAGTGTATACGCAAATCCTAAATCCTAGAGACCCATTAGCCTCACATCCTTTCTCCTAAACACTAATGTGTGTAAGGGAATTAAGGGGGTTGACGCAAATTAACTTAATTATTATTATATTATAGGAATTATATATAACTTTTTATTATTGCTTGCCTTTAGTAATCACATTATTCCTGCCCACACGTAAAATACACGCTTAGACGTGGAGTTGCGGAAAACAGCCCGTCGTAAACTAACTAATATCATAATCAAGTTTTGATCAGATCTTTAATTTATTTTATGATTTTTTTATAGGATAGCGTGACAACCGAGCGCACAGTCCATCTGATGGTAAGTGGTTGCTGTGGCTCATAGACATCAACATCTATCCTCGATTACGAACCAAAATACAGATGTGTTGCCACCCGTGAGGACTAGGATGGAATGCCTCGTTGCCAGGGTCTCTGGTTCTCTACACTCCCTATCCGAAACACAGCAGCATTAAGCTACTATTTTACGCCGGTACTCTGTGAGAGCGTGGTCCTTCCCTGGTAGAGCCGACCCATTCATGCTACAACTATAACTGCAGCTTGACCCTACCACGTACGAAGAATCTTATCTTATATATACAATCTTATACAACATTTGTATCATACACAATCAATACATTATCCAGGAATTGAGCAGGAGGCGAAATATTAGACTGATGCCGTGCCCAACCCAAATACCAAATTACTGTCATAACATGGGCACAGCATCCTACCGTTCGACGGCCGACAATACAATTGCAACAATACTTTTTAATTGCACTTCTACCAGAATCATTGCCACTAATTAAAATATATATAAAATATACTTTACGACTGATGTGTCGACTTGCGATTCTAGCCCTAAGTAAAGAGCAGCTAGGGCTAAAGTTTATTCCTTCCGTAATGCTGCTCCTGTGGTTGTTACATAATTCTATCCGATAGCAACCATTAAATCTAATATGCTCACCATAATAGGAGCGAGCTTGCTTTAATTGGTATGTGCCACAAGCAATTAATATTAAATCACTGTAAGTTAAAACAGGAAATTCCCTAACATTTTCAGAGTCTACTTTTATATTTCTAAAGTCTGCCCTAGCTCTATTTAGATTTCGTTCCCTAACATACTCAGACAAATCATTATTTGTCTCCATATTTTGGTGAACTATTTCAAGTATTTGAGCCGCATCATCCCTGTCCCTTATCTTAGTGTGGAATTTATTAATTAGAGCAGCAGCCACAGCAAAGTCTATCATCAAATGTTTAGAAGCCCTGTTAAAATAATTTTGGCGAAATATTTTAAATTGAGTTTTAAAAATGCCATTCACCACCTCGACTACCCATCGACACATAGTCACAGCTCTGGACTTATTAGCTTCTCTAGTCGTTAACTGAGATTCACCATCGGGTGGAGACAAAGGTACATGAACCTGATAACCACAATGTTCTAAAAGAGGCAATGAATCCCTAAAGCCTCTATCTAGGATGAATACATCTCCAGATTCAAAATATTGCCTTAATTAACTGGATTCATTACCAAATTCATTTTTTATGATATCCGCATCTGAGGTTGTTGCAGGATAAGGGCCTAAAACATCTATGATGTAACCTCTCCATCCTAATGACAACACCGATGACGACGACGTGACTGGACGACAACGGCGTAGCTGACCTTCCTTTTTGAAACATTCTTAGAATGTTGTGTATCGATTTCAAAATCGATCTAACCGAAATATACAGACATCGATTCATAATATTTTATGTGTCGGGGAAGGCGTAGGCCAAGTGACGCACAGAAGAAAAGTCTTACACTCTTATGACAATGGGGATTTGATATGATGCTGATGCTGCTAGATGATTTTGAGACTGAGAAAGAAAATGGCACAACACAAAATGAAAAATTGCTCTTCACACCCTAAGTAAAAAAAACATTAATTGTAATTTTGTATTATTATTAAAGAAGGTACATAATTATTCATTAATCAACAATTGTATATAATTATTCGCACTAGGTAAATCAGCCGTATAATACTAAAATCTTGGTCATGGAATAAATAAACATATTTGTTCACCAATCAATCAAAAATTCAATTCATCAATCAAAAATCAAAATTCATCATCATCGACGCTTTCCAAAATCCGAATGAGTTCTGAGGAATCGTTCATGTTGCATTGCTCTACTTTTCTCGGTAATCACTTATGACGTCATCAGGGTGTCGTCTATCCTTGATCACGGGATCACGGTGCCCAGTGAACTGATTTTCGATGACGCGCTAAAGATGCGCTAGAGTTGAGATATTAGATTTATTATGCGAAGATAATCTGATTATTCATGTAGCTAATTATAGTTTTATGTTTCTAACCTTTAATTTTATTCAAATATCAATAATAATAGAAAAAAAAAACACCATTGAGCTGAATTTTGGATAGTTTTCAAGAAATCTATGCCTCCCGCGTTTGACACTAGCGGTCAACCATAGACGACTTTGGCGTGCTGGACATAGTATTTGCTTAGATAAAAATCCATTTTTATTAGTTCAATGTTTCTTAGTACTTGTGGTTCTAGAAGACTTGTTTTTTATACTCACATGTTGCTGGGTTATTCCTATTTTGAGGAGTGTAGAATTAAAATACCTGTAATAATTTTCCAATATCTATATTTCATATTTTTCGGAGCCGGGTTTTTTGTCAACTATAGACGTCGTTGGCGCTCAGGGCCCGCAGGTGTCGGTCAAGTATAGGCGACTTTGGCGCTCAAAAGGTTAAAGGATTCATATTAAATCAGCTGGAAACTAACTTGTTTCGTTACCATAACATGATTCTATTTTAAATGTATTGTTATAAACAGATAAGAATAACTTAACCGATCTTTTTTAAAAACAGATAAGAATAACAGTTCTTATCTGTTTTCAAAGAAGATCGGTTAAGATTAAAAGTTAAATTGTGCCGTAGCATTTGTTACTCTCTAAAGAATTCATTGGAAATCAGCTAGTAATTAGCTTGTTTAATTATCGTAACATCATAATTATTTAAAAATTATATTAGCACTGTAATGATGACACCGTAAATAATCGATCGAAAAAGAGAATCGATTTTTTAAATGTGTTTTGTGATTGGCAACACTTTTTTTTATTCACAAACTAATGACATAATGATTTACCTAATTTTTATTATTATGTTTCCGGTACTTTTAATTTGTGCAAAAATATTCCCATTGTTTGAGGATAAATGAATACCGCGATTCATAACCATAAATAAAGATATAATTTTTTAACAAATTCACATTGTTGGGCGTTCCATGGCCGAAAATGGGCGTCCCCCTTTAAGTATTTTACGCTCCGAGCGGGCGATGACCTATGCGAACGATACCTTATTTCATATATAGTCACTCGCTCGCACTATGTATGATACTGTGAGTATAGCAACTAAACGATCTTGATCTTCCATTATACAAGTTTTCTTAGAATGGAGTTTTTGGTGTGTCGTTTTTATGTTACTTAATTAATTTATTATAATCTATTTCACATATTTTTCATTATTTATGAATCTTAGTGTTGAAATAAGTACACATAAATATTTTAATTGTTTCGCATTAATCGATTGTTAACCGATGTTAGTTAATAATCGATTATATCTACTAACGGTAGCATAATGGTACGAGTGCGGCACTGAAAATTTCGGGAATCAAGGAAGTGACACAACATTACTATTTAAAAATTTATTTATTGCTTTTCGAAGTATTCTCCGCGAAATTTGACACATTTTTCCATACGATGGAACAAATCATTGAAGCAACCATTACATTCGGAAGTTGGGGTCTCCAAAATGGCCGTTTTGTAGGCGTCCACAGCTTCTTCAGGTGATGAAAATCTCTGTCCACGCAATTTACTTTATTTTAGGGAAAGTATAGAAATCATTAGGCTTAGGTCGGGGCTGTACGGCGGATGGTCTAATAATTCCATGTTTTCTTGCTCTAAAAACTCTTTTTGTTCTGTGTGGATGATGCGGCGGTTGTAGTTCTCTTTACGAAGTTCAGAAACGACCTGTGGCAAACAAATGCTAGCATACCATTCTGCATTAACCGTTCTTTGTCCCTCAAGAGGAATAGTCGTAACATGGCCGGTTTTGGAGACAAACGTGGCCACCATTTGTTTTGCAACACTCCGTGAACGAACAATTTTTGTTGGCTTTAACTCATTTTCGAACACCCAAACTCGTGACTGGTTTTTTGTTTCGGTTTCGTACGCGTATTTCCAGGATTCGTTACCTGATATATATATATATATATATATATATATATATATATATATGTGCGTGTGTGTATGTTTATGTATAAACGTATGTATATGTGTATCATTTTACATGTATTAGTTATTTATATGTTATTTTATATCATGTATTGATATTATATTAGGTATATTTATATTGTACCACCTACCTATAATTCACTGTTTTATTCCTTTACACCTTTGTCCGCTCTCTGTTATGTTCTTTGTAAATTTGTTTGTGGTGTACAATAAAGTATATTCATTCATTCATTCATACCACCAGGTGGGATAGTAGTGAAGCGTTAAATAATAATTTTCGGTAGAACCGCTACTTGGCGTTGGGCGCCAGGAGCAGCGACAGCGCGTCGTGGTGGGTGCCGCTGAGCGTGGTGTGCGAGGGCGAGGCGGCGGGGCAGCACGCGCCGCAGTGGCTGGCGGCGGGCGAGGGCGTGCGCGCGCTGCACCGCTACGAGCACGCCGCCGGCCCGCACCAGTGGGTGCTCTTCAATGCAGACATGATCGGTTTGTCTTTTTTCTTTTCTCTGGTAATGGGCTACAGTTTGTGTTTTTGCCAGAATCAAGCTTGACGTTTTTGCTAAAAAATTTACTATTACCGTTCCAACCTAGTAAAGTGCACTAGAACTTCTCTTCCTAGATATTTGCCACAGTTGCCACGCTTGGCAACCACAGTTTTTTTATTATTAGTCGTTATTAAGAAGACGCTGCTGCCCATCTTCTGATTTGTTTTTCTTTGTCGCCTCTTAGGCCATACAAAAATAAGCTATATTATGGTTATGCTATGAATAGCTTGGCTCGAATGGCGCAGGACCACACTATCACAAAATACAAGCGTAAAATAGCAGCTGAATGCTGCAGTGTTTCATATGGTGAGTGTAGTGGGCCACAGCATCCACTTACTATCAGGTAGATTGTATATTCATTTATCACACTTATAATATTAAAAAAAACCAAAAACAGAAGTTGTGGAATCTCTCAGTATCGTAAAATATTATACGTGGCAGCGCCGTACCGCGTAAACTACGACGAGCGCAACTGGGAGCTGCTGGTGAACTCCCTGGTGGAAGGGAAGGGAGCCGGGGAGGGGGAGGGGCAGGTGCCGGTGCTGGGCCGCGTGCAGCTGCTTACTGATGCCTTCGAGCTCGCCTGGAGCGGCCTGCTGGACTACACCACCGCGCTAAGGTAACTTACACTCATTGCTCTACACGATTCTCTATGTTCTTAATGACACAAAAAATTTATGTAGCAAATGAACTTACGGTCCGCCTGATGCACTTATTGCAGCCATTGAATCAGAATTACAATCAGAACATTTATTGCCAGTGAATGTATATTTTGCGCGTGACATTGCAATTAAATATTACACGATTTACCCATATCGGGTATGCAATAATTGAGAAACCAAACTTGGTATAAATTATTTTGTATTAATATATTCACTTAAATTAAAAAAAAAAACATTATCTATTAACCATTTCCTGAGATGTATTTTAAATTTTAACGAGTCCATAGCTTTTATATCAGGTGGCAGATGATTAAATATTTTTGTACCTGTGCTCGTTACATATAATTATTTGTATATGTATATAAATTATGCTTATATTTAGTGCGTATTGGACGTGAATTATCAAGTTAGATTTAGTATGAAAATAGTTGCTATTCTGTTAGATATTGCTCTTGTATGTACAAAAAAATGGAATCATGTAAATGGGCCTTAATTGTCAACATTCCGAATAGTTGAATTTCTCGTCTTTCGTAATACTATCAGCAAAGAAGTGAGATAATTCGCTAGAGGCAAGAATGACTAAGCATTTGTAACATGAACACCATCTAGGGCTTCATTGCCACTTACCATCATTTTTACTTATTATTTGCCAATATCAATAGACATTTGAATTCTGATTAGTTTAAATCGATTCTACTACATAACAGAAAATGTAACATGGCATTTAAACAAGACCACAGAGTTTCTTGCCGGTTCTTCTCTGAGAAGGTCTTGTTTTTGCAAACCGGTGTAGATTTTCACGTTCGTAAGAGCTTTAAACAAGCCTAAATTGAATTAAATAGTTTTTAATTCTTTTTATTGCTTGATTGAAATAAAGTACTGGCTTATAATAAGTAAAAAACATAGGTGCTATCATCCGTGTCGATTTCCTATGAAGAAAAAGATTTCAATATAGATAATAATACTAATCATTAAAAAAAACTGGTTTCTTAGATTAGCGAGCTACCTCCAACACGAAACTGACTATCTTCCCCTCTCAACTGGTCTTCGAGCCTTGTCCAAGATCGAGAACGTGTTAATCCGTTCCCCTGATTACGGTGCCTTCCAAAAGTTCGTGAGGAAGCTTATCGGAGGAACTTACACCCGGGTTGGGGGACTCGCCACCGGGAAGATTATCTATGGAGACGACTTGGACAGCGTCAAGATGCAGGTGAGGCTTTGACCATAGCGGGATATATTTATGGCTTTGACGGCTTTGTGGCGCAGGTACCATCAGGTGGACTGTGCTCTTTTTTTACCCTGTTTTCTCAACAACCCTTCTTCTGTAAAAAACTGCTTTGAAATGTCAGTATCGATAAATTGTTAAAGGCGACGACTAGTTCGTGGGCGTGCCGTATGAAGGTGCCGGGCTGTGAAGAGAAAGCCATCGAACTGTTCGACAACTGGATGAACACACCCAACCCTGATGAGAACAACCCGTAAGTTCATATTACCGTTAAAATAATAAAGCTTCTTAATTACTTAATAAAAAATAAAACAACATGTATTAAGGTACGCTTAGAAAGTAATATTTTACGCTATTGCGTGCATGAAGGTAGTATGGTCATCCGCTTAAAATAGCCACTTTTTATAACTCAAAAACTACTACCTTATTTGCTATTTCTTAATATATTAGTTATAGCATACGACTGTGTGCATATTCTTAGCGAGTGCATATATATAATATTATAATTATTGCAAGATATTCCAGAAATCAAAATGATGATTTATTTCACGTGGAATTAATGTTTGATTACAGTGTATTAAGTTAGAATAATAATTCTTATAAATAACTCTTCTATCGTTATATAGACACACGGTAATGTTCCAGCTAAGTTCGGAAAAAAGGGCGACTGGCTCACAGAAAATCAGCATAAGAAAACAGCTTAATAGTGCTATGTTTCGTATAGCGAATATCTCTATGTTCACACGTTGGTCCATATTCACCGGTTCTCCAACCGGCTACCCTTTTTTCTAGAAAATTATCAGGGATGATAACGCATCTACATTTTAATTCTTAATCGAGGATAAATGTAGATGTCAATGAGCCACAGTACATACCATTATCCACTTAACAGCAGGTAGACTGTGTGGTCATTTTTCATCCTATAAAGGGCTCATAGTCGGCTTCATTTCAAATAAAGGAATTTCAGAAATACTACCAGTATTACCAGTATTAGATACGGAATTCGGTCCGTTTACTATGAAATTTTAAGAAAGGCCTCTGATATTGGCGGTATGGTCTTTGTAATATATATTTTTAAAATTATATAATGAGAACTTGTTTCCCTTTAACTCACAGTTTATTTTTATTCTAAAACATAGACGGCATTCGACTTTCATCCTCGTACCTCGGAAAGCACGTAAATAAGTTGGTCTTGCGATTGCCATCCCATCGGATTATGAGAATAAGTGAATAGATAATACACCTGTATTTGCGCGGTGCGCAGAGCATCATTGCGGTTCTACAGTGATGCTCTGGCCAAATGGCTATTCTCTGTCCAGTTTGAAGTGAATTATTATCAGATACTTGTGGATCGCCCAGGCTTCGCACGGGTAATTTTTGGATCTCGACAATAGCGCCACCTACGGAATCCAATTAAACCATCCAGGGACCCACTCAAACGCACACAAAAATTTCACTAAAACCCGTTGCATATTTTAAAGGATCTATGCATACAGGAGGCGGGAATCGAATTTGTTTTGTACTCGTACTATGTAGATATTAGATACGATAAAAGCATTGATTTTTTTATAGGAGAGGGGCAAACGTGCACACGGCTCACCTGATGGTAAGTGATTAGCGCCGCTCATGAACAGCTGCAACACAAGAGAGATTGCAGATGCATTGCCGGCCTTTTAAAAAGGCATAGGTTCTTTTCTTGAAGATCCTCAAGTCGTATCGGTCCAGAAAAATCGCCGTTGGTAGACGATTCCGAAATTTTCGTGAATTTAATATTAGCGTGCATAAACTTTTGTGGGATCGATTATTTAGGTGTTTCGACGGTGATCTAAACAGACAAGGCTGCATGGTCTAAGACCTTTGCCTGTTTTAATTGATGAATCGTAACAACAATGAAATAAATAAATCTACCACTATACCTATTAAGAACAATATTTATTATATCCGTTCGCAAGAAATCTATTGTTATTGTAGGTGAGGACTGTTATATAGATAATAACAGCATTAAACGTTTCATGTAGTGATGACGGTTTGTTGTGTGCAGCATCCCACTGGATCTGCGGCGCACGGTGTACTGCGTGGCACTGTCTCGCGGCTCGGTGCGGCACTGGCGGTTCGCGCTCGAGCGGCGGCGCAACGCCAACGTGGCAGCCGCGCGGGACCAGCTGCTGTACGCGCTCTCCTGCACGCGCGACCTGTGGCTGCTGGCGCAGTGCGTTCTTAACTCCTCTCTCTCGCTCTCTCTCTCTCTCTCTCTGTATAGCTCCATCTCACTAGGCGCGGGGCCAGCTGCTGGCGCAGTGCGTACCTGCCTCCTTTCTCTCTCTCTCGCTCTATAGCTCCATCTCTCTTAGCGCGGGGCCAGCTGCAGTACGCACTCGCTTGCACGCGCAACCTGTGACTGCTGGCGCAGTGCGTACCTACCTCCATCTCTCCCTATACATCTATCTTTCTCTCTCTCTATATAACTCCATATCTCGTCCAGCGTAACAAAGTATCTTAACCGTTTTGTTTGTAGTTTTTGTATTTCACTGAAGGTGCAGTAATGATTTGAAAGTGTATTTACGCGTGATAGCTAAGTGTGATTACTGACTCAGCAAGTCAATGTTAACAGTATCTACTACGGAAGACGCTTATTTCTTATATCTCAATTGGTCAATGGACAATTATCATCCGTTAATCTTCACCGTGTAACAATCTCATCAGGTACTTAGAGTGGGCGATCACCGACGGGTCTGAAGTTCGCAGGCAGGATGCTGCGGCCGTCATCACCAGCGTCACTCGCTCTACGGTGGGCTACTACGTTGCGCGCGACTTCATATACGACCGCATCGCAGACATCCATAAGGCGTAAGTTTGCTAATTGACCTCTAACTAAAGATCAGACACAGAAAATATCACCTTCTTTTGCTCCTAACGTGAACGAGATGGTTCATATACAAATCGTCATCTCCTCATTTATAAAAAAAAACGTTAATTCCACGCTAGGACTTTCTTATTTATCGGGGGGGCAGTTTACATACATAAACAAAGGGATAAATATCCAGACCTGGAATAATTATTTATTATTCCAGGTCTGGATATTTATCCTTTTGTTTATATATTTATGTATGGCCTATACAAATACTTGTTTAGTGCAGGATTAAAACCGTCAACTATCATCTATCTAACGCACGATAAATGAGGATTTAATTATTTCGTTCAAGATCTTACTGATCTATACTTAAATCTTTTTACACGATGATAAAAATTTCTAGAAAAAGTTCCTAGGAATCCTAATGAAACTTCCTAGGGTAACATATGAGGGTCTTCTTCCTCTTTTTCTTCTAAAGCCGGTGAAAGCCTTAAATCTGAAAAAGCCAGAATTTGCCTTAATCGTCAGGCTGGTAGACTGGCAATAGCAGTACCAGATGTAAGCACTTTTGACACTATTTTCCTTCTCCGGTCTAGGTATTTTACGCTTGGTGTAAACGAGCTGTCCTACCGTGTAGTGTAAGAGTATCCACTATCTCATATCATCCCGTGGGTGTCGAAGAGGTGATAGAGGAGAAAAAATCAGGAGATGGGTGGCATCGCCTTCCGAATAACGGCTAAAAATAAAAACTGTAGTTGCAACTCGCTTACCAAGCGTGGCCACTTTGGCAAATATCCCCCCGATGAGGCAACCTATGGGGAGGTCTTTGTTCAGCAGTGGACTATAATAGGCTATAATGTTAACGATAAACGAGCTGGCTATTGCGCGATCTATCGGAAGGCAGATAAGTAAGATCTTTCTGACACACATTATCCCTTAGTTTATTTTTTCGACACCCACGGGATGTTCCATTGATTATCTTTAATTACAGCATGGCAACTATTTTAAATAGAAGGAACAGAGAGTGCACCTGTGCTTGTGTATACACTCGTGCACTGTAATCCTGTCTTGCGCGGATGGCTAGTCTCCGTTAAGACTGGTAACAGAGGTTTCAATCGTAATTCGGTCCTGAGGACATTACTATTATTATTAGTTTAAATAAAATATTTTAACAAAGTACATGTAACATGGCATTTAAACAAGATATGTATATTGTTTCAGATTCAACCATGGTAGGCGCGTAGGATACATAATCAAAACATTGCTGGACCAGTTCACTACGCAGAAGGAACTCAATGAGGTATTCATTAGTTGTTATCATATCAGTAAGGACATAAAATTTTATTATTTATTACTTTTTATTATAACAAGTTAAACAGTAAGAATACAATTTTAATGAAAGTATAATATTTATTTTTCTTTTCCCCATTTAGTTCTTGTCATGGCGAGAAACAAACGCTAAATATTTAGAAGAAGCGCACCTCGCTGTAGACCAGGCGATAGAACGAGCGCGGGTCAACATAGACTGGCTAACACGTAACCGTCGCCATGTTGTTGACCGCCTTCGCGAGTTCTCCTCGTAAGAACCCTACTACAAACTTCTTAGTGTAGTGAGGACAATATTGGAGTTCGTTATGTAATGTTGATAAACCTCATTATAAGGACAAAATATTGAGTTCTGTAAGCTAAAGAGTTTGTTATATACACGTATGCTAAAAAGTTCGTTGCATATCATCAGTCATAAATTTAAACATTCTGCAATCAATATTACATACGAACTTTCAGATTCAGTTGACAAAATGGAAACCATTTTTACCACGTTTCTAATCTTGAGCTATATTTAAAGTTTCAAATCTCCAACTTATCAAGATGTTAGTTTAAAACCTATTGCTAAATTTGCACCATTCAGACAAAAAAGCAACTTAATAAAAACGTGGTTAATATTTCAATATAATGTTGTACTCACTATGAGATTGTGATAATATAATGATAATAGTTACGATGATATTGCATTGCCTTTTAGTGCTTACATTTAGTATTAAATCGACATCACGTCGCTGTTGTAGATGTATCCATAGTTAAATTAAGTGAAACTAGAAAAAAAAAGCACTAACGTCACTAGATTGAAAAGTTAAGCAAATAATTATCACTGCAGTATTTAGACTATTTTGTATCAATATAAAACATTGCTTTATAATAGTTAAACATCACAAACCGCACTTTAACCGAATATTATTTTTTTATTTACTATTTGGGAAAGCATTTCATTATTATTGTTAAATCTGTATAATAATAAGCTAAATGTTTATTACGTAAGCAGAGAAGTTCTTTAGTGAAATGTTGCTTATAATCAGAATCATATAAAAATGTAGTTAATTATATAAAAAAAAACTATAATTTTATGTAATAGTGCTTTGGAATTTTACATTTTTTAAAAGATTTTTTGTCACATGATGATGCACACAGTATATTCACCATGTGCTCAGCTATGTGCATTTAGAGTAACATTAAAGTATATATTATCTGAAGTTTAGTACATATCCACGTAAATTGATAATAATGTAATGGTTAAAAAATTCATAAATAGTAGTTTATTTCTTGTATTTACGCGAACACTACAACATTGAATAAAACTATTTTTACGGATTTTATTGTGTCAGGAATTAAAAGTATATTAAATTAAACGTGATAAAATCCGTAAAAATAGTTTTATAGTATTTAGTTTATCTAGAATTTGTTTTATAGAACTTCCTAAATACAGATAAATTGAATATTTCCCCATTAGTTACCGACATGCAGCTGTTATGGACTCATGGGAAGGACAAACATTCTTCATGCAATCTATATTGGCTATACACAATATATCCAGTAATAAGTTACAACCTTATAAATATGAAATTGGAGAAAGATGAGACAGTAAAATAATAAAGTATGCTGAGTGTTAAGTTTGAAATGTGTTGCATTTTAACGCGTTGGCTGACTTTTAGTGATTGCCAAACTTTGATATTGTCCTTTATTAATATTTATATGATGTTATAATGGACGCCACATACGGTCAGTTCAACTGATCAGTCCAAACTAAAACTGTTGATATTTTTTTAAATAGTGGATTTTCGATATATCGATCATTATAAATATATTAATATCGGAGTTTTGTATATAAGTTTATTTATGGATATATCGAAAATCCGATATTTAAAAAATATCAACAGTTTTAGTTTGAACTGATCAGTTGGAATGATCAGTTCAACTGACCGTGTGTAGCCACCATTAGAACATAGACAAATAGGAAATATTTAATTATTTAAATACTATGATACTTAATTTAAATTTTACAACTTAAATATTTAATATACCAGTGATTTGAAAACAATTGTCTACTATTATAAAGTGCATAAAGGAAGTTGTAAAGATTTATTTATGCTTTTTTTGTTAAATGTTTATAAATATAGTTTTTGTTAAATATCAAATGGTTAAGTAGTTGTTTAACAGTTATAGATTATTCTTATTTTATAACTTTATAGTTTTATACATTCAATTCTGTATTTTTTTTATTTTTAATGTCAACGTCAATGTTAACAAACAATTACATTTATTTCGTTTTTATTTTTATTCCGTATTTTGTTCTAAATATTCCGTCCATTTAAGCACTTGTTAGCGTCACAATTAATTAAAGATTTTAAAATTTATTTTTGCGTTTTATTTTCCTTTTTGTAAAGATGTGATAAAAATCAAGTGTAATAGCTTGGTTATATTTGTTTTATGTTTAGGACTAATTTCCATCCCATTTATACCGGCAAAAGAAGTGCTTGTACTGCTTTGTATTAAGGTCTGATAGAGCGACCGTAATTACAGACTGAGGCATTCCGTCTTAGTCCTCAGGAATGACAAGCCTTTTTAGTTTCAATTTAGCTGCAGTTTGATACCTGGGTGCTATAGTATATAATATATAGTTTAATTATTTATTGTATTTACGCGAACACTACAACATTGAATAAAACTATTTTTACGGATTTTATTGTGTCAGGAATTAAAAGTATATTAAATTAGACGTGATAAAATCCGTTAAAATAGTTTTATAGTATTTAGTTTATCTAGAATTTGTTTTATAGAACTTCCTAAATACAGATAAATTGAATATTTCCCCATTAGTTCCCGACATGCAGCTGTTATGGACTCATTAGAAGAACAATCTTCATGCAATCCATATTGGCTATACACAATATATCCAGTAATAAGTTACAACCTTATAAATATGAAATTGGAGAAATATGAGACAGTAAAATAAAAAAGTATGCTGAGTGTTAAGTTTGATATGTGTTGCATTTTAACGCGTTGGCTGACTTATATTTATACTATACTTATATATATATACTTACCATAAGGTGGACTGGACGACGAAAACCCCCCTAACTTCGGTATTAATAAAAGTACGTCGACTCAGCTCTAGAGTAGGTTCACAGTGAGGACATCGCTGAGTCTGGTAACGTGTTGTACATGTGATTAACAATTGGTCGAAAAATGGGCGATTTATTGTGCAAGAGTTACTATTTAATAGCGACTAATTCGTTCTTGTTTAACGGCCACACACTCACACACACACAAACACACACACACACCACACACACACACGCACACACACACACCACACACACACACCACACACGCACGCACGCACGCACGCATGCTCAGCACTGCACTCAGCACGCACACACACACGCACACACACACACAACATAAAAACAAGATTGTACAACCCATAGAATACTTTAATACATACATTATAGAACGGTGGAGTGTGCGGAGCCCGTGTAGCCACTAAAATGTCACTAACATGTGTGTAACGTGCAATTCACACGTATAAATGTCAACACGAGATGTGTTTTGACGTAACAATCGTTTCCAAATTTCGCATGTCTGTTAAAACAGCGAATCGGGTTTGTAGTAGTGATAATGCGACGTAATCGCTTGTATGTGTGCTCCCGGCGACGCCGAATCTCGTACAAAATAAGTTTGACAGCCATTCTATTGTGTATTATAGTATTCTATGGTACAAACTGTACGTGTTGCCAGTGATGACATATGAATCTGTAACGTACTCCTTTACTGCTGTCTATGGAGGGGAGGGTGCAAGGTGCTATGTACACATAATACAAAGCAATTCCTTTGCGTCGTGGAGATATTTAGTAAGTCTCGTTTAGACGTCACTGCTAGGGTTGCCACCTCTTTTTGAAAAAATATTGTAGGGGATGAGAGCTAAATGGACTGTATTTATTTGTTTTCCTATTATGTTTACGCTAGGGATTACTATATTGTTGCAAATTGAAATGAAATTAACTGAGCCTAATTCTGTGACATCTGTCTGACTAAATAAGGTTGAGTTGAAATTAAATCCGTTAAGAAACAATTCACTATATTTACAATTATTTATTATGCGGCAGTTATCACTGAACTAGTAGGGATCTTGAGGGCTTCTTGCTTGCTTGTTCTTCCGATTTGGGCCGCTTGCTGTCACTCGAATTGCCGCTCGAATGTCGAAGCCGCGCCAGAAGCGCTTCTTATATCCCGTAGGACGGTGCGCCGTGCACAGTGTTCTCAGCCTCTGCCAATAGCGTTATTAATGTTTCCTCCTTGGGGCTCTTTTGATGAAGAGTAGTCTCGAGCGCAGCTTTGATGGAATGCACCAATCGTTCCCATGCGCCTCCCTGGTTGGGCGCACCCGGTGCGATGAACTTCCACTCCGTTCGATGAGTAAAAGCGAAGTCCTTCAGCTGCGGTGCCCACTCCTCCATGGCCCGTCGTAATTCGGTGTCTGCTCCGTGGAAATTGGTGCCGTTGTCTGAGTAAATAACCCTAGGCCACCCGCGCCTAGCCGCCATACGCCTAAGTGCCATTATCGCCGAGTCCGTGGTTAAGCCATATACCAATTCTACGTGTACCGCGCGCGTCGTAAGACAGGTGAATAACGCAACCCATCTCTTCTCATGCCGTCGCCCTATAGTTACAGTTAACGGCCCGAAATAATCTAACCCGGTATACGTGAATGGTCGTTCGAACGCTCTTAGCCTCTCGGGAGGCAAGTCTCCTGTTACCGCCGGTCGTGGTGCTGCTTTCCTAACGCGACATTGCATACACCTTTTCTCGATTTCCCTAACCGTCGGTCGCAATCGAATAATGTATTACTTTCTTCGCAAGTCGTTGACTACTCGTTCTCTGTAGGCGTGGCTAGCGTCCTGGTGTGCCTTCTCCACGAGCATCTGTACGAACCGGTGTCTGCCGTTCAATATGACCGGTCGTTTCGTTTGATTTTCCACAGCGGCCGCATCGATTCTGCCTCTTGCTCTTAGTATTCCTTGTTCGATGACCGGGTCGAGCCTTTTCAGTGCGCTGCCGTTGTGTAAGTCTCTGCCTTGGTAGAGCCGAGCGATGTCATCAGCGAAACTCTCCTGCTGACTCTGCGCTACCCATAGCTGCTCTGCCTTTTCAATATGTTCTAGTCTTAATTCTTTAGCTCGTCCTCGAAGGACGTCGACGAACTGTATGACTCGTGCCGCAGCTCTGATGAATCTCTCTTATGAAGAGATTCTCGTTATGTCTGGCAGGTGTGGTGCTGCCCTTATTTCTCGCTGGTAGTGCGTCACGATTTCCTCATATTCCTCGCCTGCCTTCTTCCGGTTGCTGTTGTCATTCTCCTTCATCTTTATATAAGAAGTCCGTCCGGTAAACCACTTATCGTTTGCGCTCTTCGTTACGTAATTTGCTCGCGTCGCTTCATCTGCTACGTTGTGAGCCGTTGGTACCCACTTCCATTGGTCGGGTGATGACATTGCATCTTACTTCTTCTCTACTACCTCAAATCTTGGTGTCCCATGTGACATAAATACTGACGAGAATATTTTTAGTACATCAGTGGGGGGAGCAATCGATTGTTTTACAACTCTAAATCTTTCCCGTAAGCAAATTTACAAAAAATTAGTCAATATTGATGTAACGAAGGGCACTGGGAGTGATAATATTTCACCGTTGTTTATTTCACGATGCGCGTCAGGCCTGGTGGAACCTTTATTTATTATCTTTAATAACTCATTAAGTTCTGGGGTTTTTCCCAAAGTTTGGAAGGTTTCTAAAGTGGTACCAGTTTATAAGGCAGGTGATGCTCAGATCATTAGCAACTACAGGCCTATTTCCATATTGTCCTCATTAGCTAAAGTGTTCGAGTCTCTAGTCTGCCCTATTCTTCAAGCCTACTTCGACAAGTATTTAAACGACAACCAGCACGGCTTCACAAAAGGTAGGTCTACTAATACTAATCTGGTTACGTATGTGGAAGACATTGCAAGTCACATTGATGGCAATAAACAAGTAGACGCAATATATACAGACTTCAGCAAAGCCTTTGATAGAGTAGTCCATCGACGGCTTCTGACAAAACTATCTGCATACGGAATAGGGGGTTCTGTTCTAGCTTGGTTCGAATCGTATCTAAGTGAACGTTCTTTCTATGTGGTCGTTAATGGCTTTAGCTCAGAGCTACGAGATATCACTTCTGGTGTTCCGCAAGGTTCACACCTAGGCCCTATTCTCTTCAATATCTTTGTGAACGATATACCTAATTGTATAAAATACTCGTCCCCTTCGATGTTCACAGATGACCTAAAACTGTGGAAAGTAATTGAAACACTAGATGATGTTTTGCATTTACAAAAAGATCTCGACGCGCTAGTGAAATGGTGTCAGACGAATGGAATGGAGCTCAATATCAATAAATGTGTTCACATTAAATTTACTAGGAAATTGAATCCTATTCCATCCATCTACAGCATTAATGGGATTCGATTAGGAGAAAGGACAGTAGTAAGGGATCTGGGTGTGCTCATGGATAATAAAATGACATTTGTCCCACATATTGACT